TATTAAATCAAAAAATAATTTTGAGTTGAAGAAACCCACGTTTTTGGCCTAGGAACTAATACGGTTGTCTAAAAACTATTTTTATTACTCTATGTTCGGAAAATCACCATAATATTGAAAAAAATGGTCCAACGTTACCATAAATTACTAGAACTAGTAAAAATAAATATTTATACACATGAATTTTTGTACACATGAAGTACTCACTATTCCCTTCCACCACATATATCTACGAGGGTAGTTCGGAAAGTTCTTAGCCTAGCACAAACATCGCGGTATAAACAGAAAATAGTTAAGTGTTTTGGAAACTTCATATTTTTTATAAACACATGTTAAATTTAGTTTCTATGTGCAATTCTTTCATATAGAAACAGAAGAAGATACTTCCTTACAGTTCGTTTACTGAGATGATCATTTTCTAAACAAAATCCGTATCAACTTGCCTACAGAGACCCCCCTTTCAACACCTATACACTTCGACTTTACTAAAACCCATTCACCAAAACCCTTCATAAATCCATTAAGAAACATCGGTTTTCAGTTGACCGATAAGTTTAGCCTCAATGTGAAATCAAATTTTTGAAATCATTTAGTGAGTCAATATTCACCTCGCAGATTTGACCAAAATCACATTTTCATCATTAAACTCCATTACAACTTCGTGGCATTTATTTGCCCTTGAGCATATCCTTTTTTAACTTTTACAACATTAACACGTGATTTTTTACGACGATTTGCCAATTTATATAGACAAAATACGAAAGAAGCTCTCATTAATCCATAAAATACTTCAAAAATACTTAAAACAGAGGCGCCCAAACACAGACCCATAATGCCACCGAAATTCGATATTAAATCCAAATAGGTGTATTGTAAACGGGCTGCATATTTGGTTAAAGTGTTTTTGTTAAAATACACATCGGCAGAGATTTCGGGATAGCTTTCATTGATGCTGAAATAAGATTTTATTAGTTTACTAATTTTAATATAATAATTGTTGATGGGCTTACTTGGCTAGTGGTAGGGTATTTAAATTCACCAAAAACACCATCGATTTACAGCTATTGATACAATCACATGTCATACCACGTCGTGTATCATTGATGTACTCGTCCTGAAGTGGACCTTTTATATAACTGAAAACATCTGCGAATGAATGAAATGGTAGTGAATTATACTCCAGTTATGACATTCGGGGTCCCACTTACCTCGATGCTCATAAATACATTTTAAATCTGATACCCTACACTCCTTGTCGGGATTATTAGCTATAATTTGAAAATTATATGAAATGGAAATAAATTGTTGATATTTTTGAAAACAAAAAATGCATAATTAAATATTTTTAAGATTCAGCTTGGAAATTTTACAAAGACATTGCTGCTACTCCCAGGATACTTGGTATTAAAAAATTGTATACAGGGTTGCCCATATGGTATACAGGGTTGCCCATATGGTATACAAGGTTGCCTTACTCTTTTTTAATCAAAAAAATAAAATAAAAATTTGGCGGTTGGCAATGTTAATCTTTTAATTTGTTCCAAGTAGATTTGTTTACATCAATTTTGAATATGATATCTCTCAAATTGCCGCATCTGGCGTTGATGACGTATTGTTCCCTTTCCATTTTCCATCGTTTTTGCCAAAATTTCGGCCGGAATAGCGGCTATTTTTTCACGAATGTTGCCCTTGAGCTTTTCTACGGTCCTTGGCTTGTTAACTTAAACCTTTGACTTCAAATATCCCCACAAGAAGAAGTCAGGCGGCGTCAAATCGGGCGAACGCGGTGGCCAGTCCAAATCACCACTTTCCGACATCAAACGGCCCGGAAACAAATTCTTCAGAAAATCGATTGTTATGCGACTTGTGTGCGGTGGAGCGCCGTCTTGTTGAAACCACAACTTCCTCATACGCTTTCGACGAATAATTGGCATCACAAAATTGGTCATCATGTCGCGATAACGCTCCTGATTGATGGTAACAGCAATGCCATTTTCATTTTGGAAGAAAAACGGTCTAATGACCGTTTTCGCACTAATGCCGCACCAAACTGTGACTTTTTCGTCATGAAGAGGCACTTCTTGAATCTCCTGAGGATTTTCAGTGGTGTAAAAACAGTAATTTTGTTTATTTACGGTCCCATTCAATGTGAAATGGGCTTCATCGGACATGATAATTTTGTTCCAAAATTGCTCGTCATCTTCGGCCATTTCGATGACTCTTTGGGCCCATTCCAATCGACGAGGCTTGTCCGCAGGCAACATTCTTTGCGTCAATTGAATTTTGTACGTGAACAAATGCAAATCAATGCGAATAATCCGTTGTAAAGTGGACCGAGCCATGCCCAACTTCTGAGAACGGCGTTTTTGGGATGTTCTTGGGGACCTCTCAACACTGGCTCGTAAGGCAGCGATATTCTCGGCCGATCGCCTTGGTCGACTTTTATATGGTCTCTTCGGATTAGAAAAAGTCTTACCAGTCGAAATTTTTCCGTATAAACGCTAAATGGTGTTCTTAGAAGGCGAACTTCTCACATTTTTTAATGTTTTGAAAGCACGTTGAGTTTTCACAATTGACTTCTTCTGTTGAATGTAAATTTCAACTATTTCAGAGCGCTCACGTGGCGTGTATTGGTTCATGGTAAAAATTTGCTTGGACTGACGCTTCAAACGCGGTATGTAATTATGCGATGTGACATCTCTGTCAAAAGTTATGGCGTTGCCAGATGGGTCCGTCGAATATGGGCAAACCTGTATATGATTAAGGTATACTCCTATTTTTTGCGGTTTTGAGGATTTTGAGCCTATATTTCAATCGAATTGACCCTAATTTAATATTTATGTATAGGTGACGTAGGGGATGATAGATACCAAGCAACGGCTCTGACTGGCCTTTCATCCCCCATAAGAACTTAAAAAAAATAGGTTGAGGCGTCAGGCTAGTTGCCCACACTCGGAAACACCCTCCTACTATGAGAAAGCAACAAAAAAGAAAACCAAACCTCCCTAATGTTGACATTCCCCAAATATAAAGGACCACGATGGGCGAATTTGCACTTGGAATGTGCGCACGTTGTACAGAACAGGCGCAGTGTTCGCATTGGTGGATGTACTCAAGAAGTACAAAGCCGATATTAATGCCTTACAGAAAATGCGATGGAAAGGGATTGGCGCAAGTAAATCAGATGATTACGCACTATATTATAGCTGTCATGAAACGAGACATGAATTTGGTTGCGGATTTATGGTTAACACGAGAATTAAAGACCTAGTCTCCAGATTCACTCCAGTAGATGAGCGAATTGCTATAATCCGTATAAAAGCGAAGTTCTACTACATGAGTCTCATTTGCGCCCATGCTCCGACCAAAGATAAAGATGAAAAGAACAAAGATATATTTTACGAGCGCCTAGAAACAGAATATGACCGCTGCCCTGTCCATGACATTAAATTTCTGCTAAGAGATTTTAATGCAAACATCGGAAGGGAAAATGTTTTTGGTCCCACCGTCCGAAAATTCAGTATCCATGAATAAACAGTCGACAACGGCATGAGGTTGATTGACTTCACTGTAGCAAAACAAAACATGGTAGTTATCAGCATCCGATTCAAGCATCTCGATATACACAAGGCCACCTTGATTTCTCTTGATCAAGCAAGGAGAAACGAGAGCAAATCGAGATGTAAAGGAGTCAAAATTAAGTCCGGAAATTAGGAATACCCAATGATTGGTATCTCAGTATCCTGTGTCCCGTGCACAAAAAATGAGACGATACATGTGCCAACTATAGGGGAATAAGTCTCCTTCCCATCGAATATATCTTGCTATCCAGCGTGCTGTGTGAACGACTGAAGCCAATAGTCAATGTCATTATTGTATCATAACAATGCGGCTTCTGTCCCGGCAAATCCACCATTGACCAGGTTTTCACTATGCGCCAGATACTGTAAAAGGACCACGAAAAACACTTCGACACATTCCACCAATTCGTCGACTATAAAGCCGCATTCGACAGTCTGCGTTCATTCTTGCAAAATTAATACGGCTATGCAGGATAACTTTGAGTGGCACAAGGCCAGCAGTTAAAGTCGGATAGGATCTCTTGTACCACCATAAATAAAACTAATGACATCAGTTTTGAAATTCGGAGGAGAATAGTGTTGGCCAACAGATGGTACTATGGTCTACGTATGGTAGAAGTAGTCAACAATTTTATATACATCGGTACCGCCATACATAAAACGAATGGCATATGCTTTGAAATCCGGAGAAGAATAGTGTTGATCAACAGATGCTACAATGGTCTACCTAAGCAGTTTAGAAACAAGGCCACCTCCCGCCAGACCAAACTCTACAGGACGCTGATTCTACCCGAGCTGTTATATGGATCTGAAGCATGGGTACTTGCACAAGCAGATGAACCAGCTCTTATAGTGTTTGAGAGAAAAATTATCCGAAAGATCTATGGGCCGATCTAGGTCGACGGTAACCACGAGCTTTACCATCTATAGACGGACATAGACATAGTCAATCGTAAAGAGCTGCAGCGACTACAGTGGCTAGGCCATGTTGCGCGAATGGATGAAGATGCACCAGCTCAAAAGCCATATAAAAGCAAGGATACTGATGGTTCACCCAGATGGGGAATACCATGAATTCGATAGAAAGATCAAGTGGAGGATAACATTTCGAAAGATGGTCTTTATAATTGAAAGAGCTGAGCACAAGACACGCCCGGTATGTGAAAATTGCAATTTCGGGATATTATGGTCACGAGCGATTTAAGGAATTTTAAAAGCACACCACGTGGTGGTGGTATATAAAGTTCGACCCGGCCAAACTTAATGTCGGGTTTACTTGTTATGCATTTTGAAAGTCATAGGCGGATTTTTAAACCCATGTGACTGTAATTTGGCATTCCTTGTTATTGATCCGTCCGTGTGGATCCACCTCATGGTGGGTATTGAGTTTTCGATTTATAGGTTTTCTACAAAGGTTTTTTACTTACGTATGCCTGGGAAAAACATAGACATTGTACAGTTACAGGCATCTAATAAATATCTCTGCTCACACTGCACCCGACAATTGACCTTGTTAAATTGCAGGCCCTCAATTCGATAGTATTTACGGGATTTTTCATTCTGAAAGAAATTAAAAAAAAATATTGAAATGTTTTCTCAGGAAAAATGGAACCACTATATTTAATAAAAGATATAATTTTTTGTATAGAAGTTCGACTGTAATATATTAAATTCGGAATATAATGAACCTTACCGGAAATAAACATTTACGTTTCGCTGGATTAATGTGACGAGTATTTCGAGAGGTCTCGGTTATTATTGGTGTTACCATCAAACTAGTATGTGTATTCTCATGCAGAATATTAAATAGAGAATCACTCCATTCTTCGGATTCTTTAATTAGGACCTAAAACAAATAATAAAGATGTTACCAAAACTTTCATTCAAGTTTTTTTCTATAATTACTTACACTAAAAGCAAATGGTACATCAGATTCGGGTCTAATAACACTGCTATTATAACGTAATTTAAACGATAAACCTGAACGTTCCCCACTCGATCGGGCTCTCCAGGGATAATAGTTATCAGTTAACTAAAAATAAATAAAAAACAACGTCGATGAATTTCAAAGGTCCGAAGTTTTAAAATCTATTCCATAAATTCTATGGAACATCTTGAACTTATTAGTGATATTTTAAAAAATAACCCTGGGAAATGAGGTGGAGGGAAGCTTGATTTGATGGCTATGACAGAGCATGGGTCAATAAGACGCAATTTCTGTGAGTATGTGTATCGCCTCATACCAAACATTTTTACCTTCTTAATTTTCGATTCCTTCGATATGACCGAATTGAATACCAAACACACACCCTTTTCCGTATATTCGGGAACGAAAATTTTACAACAATCATGTTGCGTTTCATCGTACGAACACCAACGGAAAATTTCATCACAACGCAGTGCCATATATTTAGCCACTTCTGAGAGTACAATATTTCGTACCGACCATGGTACTTTCTTTGTGTTTAAGAACTCCTTTATAGGATCCAGTCTGGAAAAGGTAATACGTTCCATTAAAACCATGAGATTATAAAAGGCACTCTTTGCCTCCTTGGCTGTATAGCGTGGTAGGAATTTCTCCTCAGCCGCTTTGTAACGCATCCAATTGATGTGATTGAAGGGACAAACGGCCACTGCGGGAAAACTAATTTTATGTATGGGTAAATGTGATGTTTCGACCACTGTAACAAGGACTTCTTCGCCATGACGCTTGGTCACATCGATGTACAGAACTATGCAACCAATTAAGGCGGCTACTACCACCAATAACCAAAATAACCGTACCGCAGGCCGTTCCCTCGGTTCGAAAATATGATTTACACCATGTATGGAATTTTTACAAAATTGTAGCAGACGTTGCAAAACTCTGTTTTTGAAATATTTTTGTGGTCGCCGGGGGTTGGTATGATGGACTGCAGCTTCGTTGAATGTTAGCAGTCCGTTTGGATGTTTAAAATTGGTTTTCTTAAAATAAGCCAATTCGTTTGGGTAAAACATGATTACGGTGTACTTCGATCGATGGCGTCCAAAATGAAACTGAGTATTTGAAATTGCTGGCCTTGCACCTTAATGTGACGATACGTAATTATTTTTATATTAACGAGTTGTAAATAAAATTAATAAAAATTTTTATGTATTTCGTTTTTATAACTTTTTTGTATGAAGAACAAAGTTTGTCTATAATAATATATATTTTATATATCATTATCTTGATATGTTTAAAAAAAATATGTGCAATTTATTGAAAGCAATATCGGTAAATGGGATATCAGTTAATGATTTTGAAAGAAAATTAGCCATAAATGCGATAAAATCAGGATATTCGGAAAATGTATTTTTATACCCTTCACCACACTGTGGTGCAGGGTATTATGTCTTTGTGCATATGTTTGTAACAGGCAAAAGGAAACGAGATAGACCCATAGTTCCTTTTGAGAATATGCATAGAATCACTTTCTGAGCCGATTTATGCATGTCCGTCCGTCTGTCCGTCAGTTGGTGTTAAATTGTAAACAAAGTACAGGTCGCATTTATTAACCGATTTGGATGAAATTTGGCACAGCTCATTTGTTTGACCCAAGGACGAACCCTATTGAAATTGGGAAAAATCGGTTCAGATTTAGATATGCTCCCATATATATTTTCGTCCGATTTAAGGTAAATGGTGCACCAAAGACCCTATATATCTGTCGATTTGCACGAAATTTGGTATAACGTACTGTATTGAGCCTAGAATGATGTCTGCCAAGTTTTGTGAAAATCGGTTCAGATTTAGATATAGCTCCCATATATAGTTTCGTCCGATTTCATGCAAATGGTGCACCAAAGTCCCTATATATCTTTCGATTTGCACGAAATTTGGTATAACGTACTGAATTGAGCCTAGAGTGATGTCTGTCAAGTTTCGTGAAAATCGGTCAAGATTTAGATATAGCTCCCATATATATTTTCTTCCGATTTAATGTAAATGGTGCACCAAATTCCAGATATGTCTTTCGATTTGCACGAAATTTGGATTTTTAAAAGACACTTTTTCGAGATATAAGCCTGGATTAAAAACAAACCAGTAAGGAAAGTAGTAAAGTCGGACGGGGCCGACTATATGATACCCTTCACCACTATGGGTATATTAAACAGGACTATTAACATGAAATTGGATGAAATAAAATATGTGATATTTATCTAAATGTGAATCTACCTAGATCTATCCATAAACATGTCAGTCGTTTGTTACAACGAAATATAAATAGGTCATCCGTTGGGCTATGTCTGTACTTCTAGAAAACGCAACTACGTAATTCTAAGCTCAATTTTGTAAGTTGTGCAAAATTTGATGTCAATCTGACTAACATGAGGAGTTTGATGCCCAATTTACTTGAAATCGGGCGAAAATATATATGGAAACTCTATCCAAGTATTAAGCGATTTCAAACAAACTTGTCACAGGTTAGGTTATACTAATTTCAAAACGTTTTGTTCCTATCAGCCTATTGGTTCCTTGGTGCGTGAATTACTTAAAATCAATCTATAATAAAAGGGAGCTATATCTAAATCTAGACCGATTTTCACAAAACTTGACAGACATCACTCTAGGCTCAATTCAGTACTTTATGCCAAATTTCGTGCAAATCGAAGGATATATAGGGACTTTGGTGCACCATTTACATAAAATCGGACGAAACTATATATGGGAACTTGGCAGACATCACTCTAGGCTCAATTCAGTACGTTATGCCAAATTTCGTTCAAATCGAAGGATATATAGGAACGTTGGTGCACCATTTACATAAAATCGGACGAAACTATATATGGGAGCTATATCTAAATATGGGCCGATTTTCTCGAAACTTGGCAGACATCACTCTAGGCTCAAATCAGTACGTTGTGCCAAATTTCGTGCAAATCGAAGGATATATAGGGACTTTGGTGCACCATTTACATAAAATCGGACGAAACTATATATGGGAGCTATATCTAAATCTGGACCGATTTTCTCGAAACTTGGCAGACATAATTCTAAGCTCAATTCAGTACGTTATGCCGAATTTCGTGCAAATTGAAAGATATATAGGGACTTTGGTGCACCATTTACATAAAATCGGACGAAACTATATATGGGAGCTATATCTAAATATGGACCGATTTTCTCGAAACTTGGCAGACATCACTCTAGGCTTAATTCAATACATTGTGCCACATTTCGTGCAAATCGAAAGATATATAGGGACTTTGGGGCACCATTTACATGAAATCGGACGAAACTATATATGGGAGATATATCTAAATCTGGACCGATATTATCGAAACATGGCAGACATCGCTCTAGGCTTAATTCAATACGTTATGCCAAATATCGTGCAAATCGAAAGATATATAGGGACTTTGGGGCACCATTTACATGAAATCGGACGAAACTATATATGGGAGCTATATCTAAATCTGAACCGATTTTTCCTAATTTCAATAGGGTTCGTCCTTGGGCCGAATAAGTGGCCTATGCCAAAATTCATCCAATTCGGATCATAAATACGACCTGTACTTTGTTTACAATTTAACATGGACAGACAGACAGACAGACAGACGGACGGACATGCATAAATCGACTTAGAAAGTGATTCTATGCATATTCTCAAAAGGAACCATGTGTCTATCTCGATTCCTTTTGCCTGTTACAAACATATGCAGAAAGACATAATACCCTGTACCACAGTGTGGTGAAGGGTATAATAAGGATGGTCTGCATCGATTGGCTTTATCCTAGTTCATACGATAGCTATACACTTACAGAGAAACGTGTAAAAATTTGGAATCGATTGGGTTATTAGTTTTTGAGTTATCGTGCCATTCGCAAAAGAGAAAAAGGCGTTTAAAGTTTGAGAAGCCCTTTAGCCGTCACTTGATGCTGACACAATGAATCGGCTATATCTTCAACAGTTCTTGACATTTTCACTTTTCACCCCTAGAATGGGGGGTCCCCTTAATGATTTTGAAAGAAAATTAGCCATAAATGCGATAAAATCAGGATATTCCGAAAAATTTACTTTAAAAATTTTTATAAGTTAGTTTTCCAATATTAATTTTTCCTATAGATATTTTAGTTGTTGATATATAAGCGTGGATTTTTAAAAGACACATTTTCGAAGATTAATAAAAACTTCAATTTAGTATTTGACCCCTATGATGCACCCCTCCATAGCGTATATGGTCTATTTTTTCTGTATTGGCTCTTCTGGACGTTGCCATTTATGTGCGTGAGCTTGGATTTCAACATCATGGTCATATACCCGTGATTCGTCACCAGTTGTGTCATTTATGAGGTAATCGAGATCGTAGTTGACGATGTGCAACAGTTTCAGAGCGATATCCAGGTGATGATATAGTTGCCAACACTATCCTTCTCCGAATTTCAAAAGTGATGTCATTAGTTTTATTTATGGCGGCACCGATGATGTCGTGTTCAAGTTCCACATTTGGTCCGAGTCCACTTCTTCTCGTCATTTAGTGCCAGTCCCACTTTGGCAGACTCCTTCTCAAATATGTTCAAAGGTGGCTGTTACAGCTCGCAATGTTCGACCCATTATATCGATGTTATCGGCGTATGCGAGTAACATGTGTTTTTGTTGTACAGAATGCCATTTCTGTTCAGCTTTGCGTCTCGTATGACCTTTTCCAGCAGGATGTTAAAAAGATCACACGACAAACTGTCACCTTGTCAAAATCCTCGTTCGGTACTGAAGGGCTCCGATAGGTCATTTCCGACCTTGTGCCACTTAAAGTTATCCTGCGTAGTCATATTAATTTTGCAGGAATGCCGAACGCAGCATGGCTTTAAACACCTCTGAACGGATAGGGTGACAAACTGTCACCTTGTCAGAATCCTCTTTCGGTATTGAATGGCTCCGACAGGTCAATTCTGACTTTAAATTCTGACCTTGTGCCACTTAAAGTCATCCTGCGTAGCCATATTAATTTTGCAGGAATGCCGAACGCAGGTATAGCTTTAAACAATTCACAACGAATAGAACTGTTGAATGTGGCTTTATAGTCGACGAATAGGTGGTATGTGACGATGTGTTTTTCGTGGGTCTTTTCCAGGATTTGGCGCAGAGTGAAAATCAGGTCAATGGTGGATTTGCCTGGCCTGAAGCCGCATTGGTATGGTCCGATGGTGTCATTGACCATTGGCTTCAATCGTTCACACAGCACGCTGTATAGTACTTCATATGCGATGGGAAGGAGACTTATTCCTCTATAGTTGGCACATATAGTCTTGTTTCCTTGCTGAGGTTCCAATCATTGGGCATGCATTCATTAAGACAAATTGTGCTAATCTGCTGGTGCACGCTCCTGACCAGCATCTGGCCACCAGTCTTGTATAGTTCGGCTGGTAACCCATCGGCTCCTGCTGCTTTGTTGTTCTTGAGCCGATTAATTGATTTTATGAACTCATCTTGGCTAGGTGGTATACACTCTATACCATCATCTGTTATTGGTTCTAGGGTATGTTCTACATCGCCACTATTTGATATTTGGGTATGTTCTACATCGCCACTATTTGATACCAGAAGCTTTTCGAAATGCTCCTTCCAGATCCTCAACACGCTGTCTGTATCTGTCACCAGGTTTCCTTCTTCATCTCTACCGGAGGATGTGCCTGCACCAAAGCCTTCGTTTTGGTGTTTTACTAGTTGGTAAAATTTCCGGACTTCATTCTGACTCCTGTACATTTGGATTTGCTCATGTTCTTTCTTCTTTTTCTGAAAACACGTTTCTCCTCTCTCCTTTTCTCCCGATAATTCTCCATCACGTTACGTGTTGCTACTGTCTGCAGGATTGCCCTATACGCTGCGTTTTTCACATCAGTAGCATTACGACACTCCTGATCGTACCATGGGTTTCTTGGTGGTGGTGGTGGTACCCAAGTGCTCCTTTTGCTGCAGTTTGTAGGGAGTGGGCAATTCTTTGCCATTGTGCTTCTATACTATTATCGGGACAAG